CTTATCAGCACCGCTAACACTGGTGGGGGGGTGTTTCGAAAAAAAAAAAAAAAAAAAAAAAAAGGGTTGGCCACTTGCCATAGGCATTGCCTGGTCCTCAACTCACATTTCCCAGCAACCCAAACCCTGACTGAGCCAGGCGACCTGCACGGGTGCCTGCCCGTACAGCCTTGGTAGCCTACATTCACACGATAGTGAGATGGAGAGGGCCTGAGGGGCGTAGTTTGTTTCCTGGTGGCAGCCCTGTAATTTTCTAGTCCCTTCCGGCACATGCGAATGGCTTCTGGTTGGCGGGCCTGAATTTCGGTCTGTTTGCGCTGGTGAGTCGGTCCGGTACCCCATGGTTCGCGTGTGGCGTCCTCTGCCTGTCATTCTGCATTCCTCCACGCTCTCCTCTAAAGCACTGCTTGCCATCACTCTCCCCTGCTTCCACCATCACGCTCCCACCCGCTCTTGATGCCTCACCTTGTTGTAATTCAGGCATTCATAAAGAGGACCGCCTCTTCTTCGATCTTCATTCCACTTAATCGAAGGAGGCACCAAAGTTGATTCGATTCATACTTGGCCGCCGGTTAAACAGTACAGGATGTGCTTTTGGACTTTCTATTTGCTCTCAGTCCCTCTCACTGTTCTAGGACTAGCATCTATCCCCGAGCATAAGGTATGGCCATTACAGCTGCATCCAGCCTGAAAATTGTCCTAAATACACAGTTATGTATCTGGCGGATTCTGGCCTGAAAAAATAATGCCCTAAATATACCGTTATCCTAGGCTGGGCCGCCGCCCGGCCGGGCGGGCCCTGGCCGGTTGGGCCCGGGGGTGTCCGCCCAGCGAAACCGGGCAGCGCAAAAACACACCAAGGAATTATTATTTTTTTTGTTTTGAAGGCGGGGTTGTGCTGCGCTACCCTGAAGGCCCCCGAATCTGCAATAAAAAAAGTGAACTTGGGGGGGTGTGCGGGTGGGGGGGTGGGGGTTGGAGGGGGGGGTGCTGGGGAGGGATGTCAGTGGGGGGTCTGGGTGATGTCAGTGCTGGTATGTCACAGACCTTGCAGGTGTGTATGTGGAAGAAGAAGAAGAAGAGGAGGACGAGGAGGAGGAGGAGGAGGAAGGAGGAGAAGAAGAAAGCACGTCCACATACACACGCGAAGGAGGAAGAGAAGAGGGAGGAGGAGGAGGAGGAGGAGGAGGAGGAGGAGAAGAAGAAGAAGAAGAAGAAGAAGAAGAAGAAGAAGAAGAAGAAGCGAAGGAGGAGGAGAAGAAGAAGAAGAAGAACGAGACGGGTGGAGGATGGCGAAGGAGGAGGAGGACTACTGCACTCTCTCTCTCTCTCTCTCTCTCTCTCTCTCTCTCTCTCTCTCTCTCTCTCTCTCTCTCTCTCTCTCTCT